AAACACCAATCAGAAAGGATATAGGCACCCCTATGTTCATAGCAGCACAATTCACCATAGCTAAGATTTGGAAACAGCCTAAGTGCCCATCAGCAGATGAGTGGATTAGAAAACAGTGGTACATCTACACAGTGGAATACTATGCTGCTATAAAAATAAGGAACTTTTATCATTTGCAACAACATGGATGGGCCTGGAAAGCATTATGCTAAACGAAATAAGTCAGTTGGAGAGAGATAAATATCACATGATCTTACTCATATGTGGGATATATGAACAACATAAACTGATGAACAAAAATAGATCCAGAGACTAAGAAACACTGAACAGACAGTCCTACCTCGGAGAGAAGGTGGGTTTGGGGGGTGTAAGAGATCAACCAAAGGACTTGTATGCATGAATATTAGCATAACCAATGGACACGGACACTGGGGCGGTGGGGGCTTGCCTGGGAAAGAAACAATAGGTAAATTTCACTTCATCCAAATGAAAACTTTGTGCTTCAAAAGATATTGTCAAGAACATGAAAGGACAACCCACAGATTAGGAGTAAATATTTGCAATTCATATATCTGATAAGAGCTTAGTTTCCAAAATATATTAAAAAACTCTTACAAATCAATACAGATAAAAAGACAAATAACTTACTCTTTAAAAAATGGGCAAAATATTTGAACAGATGTTTCTCCAAAGAAGATAAAGAAATGGTCAATAAGTACATGAAAAAATGCTCAACATCATTTCATTAATAAAATGCAAATGAGAATCATAATGAGAAATTTCTTATCCACTTAAGATGGCTACAATAAAAAATGGACAAGTGGTAGTGAGGATATAGAAAAATTGGAACCCTCATGTGCTGCTTTGGAGAATGTGAAATGGTGAAACTACTTTGAAAAATAGCTTGACAGTGTCTCAAAGTATTCTACAGCAGTCCCCACTTATTCTGGGTTTCACTTTCCGTGGTTTCAGTTACCCATGCTCAAACATCGTCTGAAAATATTAAATGGAAAATCCCAATAATAAACAATTGGTAAACTTAAAATTGCACACTATTTTCAGTAGAGTGATGAAATATCACACCATCCAATTCTGTCCTGCCCAAGACGTAAATCATCCCTTTGTCCAGCATATCCATGCTGTGTACATCCCCCACCTGTTAGTCACTTAGTGGCCTTCTCAGTTACCAGATCGACGTCATGGTATCAAACTGCTAGTGTTCAAATAAACCTTATTTTACTTCACGATGGATCCAAAGCACAAGAATAGTGTTGCTGGCAATTGGGATATGCCAAAAGAAGCTGTAAAGTGCTTCCTTCAAGTGAAAGGTGAGTATGGTACCATATGATATTTTGAGAGAGACCAAATTCACATAACTTTTATTGTAACATTTATTATATGTTATAATTATTTTGTTTTCACTAGCCATTGTTAATCTCTTACTTGAAATTAATTTGCCAATTAACCGTTATCATAGGTCTGTGTGTGTAGGAGAAACATAGTACATCGAGGTTTCGACACTATCTGTAGCTTCAGGCATCCACTGGGGGTATTAGAACATATCCCCTGTGCGGGGACTACTGTAGATAGAGTTACCATATGACACAGCAATTCCACTCCTAGGTATATATCCAAGAGAAATAAAAGCATATGTCCAAACAAAAAGTTCTACAAGAATGTTCACGGCAGCATTATTCATAATACCCAGAATTGGAAACAACCCAAGTGTATCAATTTATGAATGGCTAAACAAACATGGTGTATCCATACTCATGGAATATTATTGAGCTATAAAAAAGAATGAAGTACCTATACATGTTACAATATGGATTAACCTTAAAAATATTATGCCCAATGAAAGAAACCAGATATAAAAGGCAACATATTGTTTGATTCCATTTATATGAAATGTCCAGACTAGGCAAAGCTATAGAGACAATCAGTAGATTAGTGGTTGCCAGGGCCTGAGGGGAGAGAGGAATGTGGAATAACTCTAAAGGGTATGTGGTTTCTTTTGGGGGTGATGAAATGTTCTGGAATTAGTGGTGATGCTATACAACCGTGTGAATATACTAACCACCACTAAGTACATTTTATTTTTTTGTTAATCCTCACCTGAGGATATTTTTTCCATTGATTTTTTTAGAGAAAGGGGGAGAGAGAGAGAGAGAGAAATGTGTGAGAGACACATGGATTGGCTGCCTCCAGTAAGTGCCCCAGCCAGATAGAACCTGCAACCCAGGTATGAGCCCTTGAGGGTAATGAAGCCATGATCCTTCAGTCCAAGGGCTGACACTCTAAACATTAAGCCAAACCAGCTAGGGAAGCAATAAGTACATTTTAAAATGGGGAACTTGATAGTATGCAAATTATATCTCTATTAAGGACAATTTTTTAAAAAAAAGTATAGGAAAAGGCCAATGTTAACCTAAATAAAACTAATATGTATGTTAATATCAGAAAAATTTGATTGCAGGGCAAAGTGCCAATGAACTAGATTACCAGAAATAAATAAACTCCTTACACATGTATAAAATGTTCAAGTCACCAGGAAGATATAGCAATTCTAAACTTGTTTGGAACTATTGACAAAGCTTCAAAATTGACATAGTCACAAGGAAACATTAACAAAATTTGCATATCAATAAGCAGCCCAAACTCCAGAAAAATAGAGCATTTGAGCCAGATAAACAAGTAAGACTTAAGTATATACTACACTGAACCCACTGTAAAGTGTACATTTTTTCAAGTGCTCATGGAATATTCGCCAAAAACTTTATGTTAGACCATAAAGCAAATCTCAGTAGATTTCAAAGAACTGAAATCATGCAAAGTTTGTTCTGTGAAGATAATTAAATCAGACTAGAAATGGCAAGGGCACTGATCTGTTAAAACCGAAACTTGCCCTGGCCCAAGGTCAGGCAGGGATTAAGGAAGGTCTCCCGCTGTGCAGGCATTAACCCTTTAGTTGCAAGATGATAACTTTAGGGCCCAGCAATCCTGGAAAAGGGACTGAGATGGTCAGGACAATGGGCTAAGTGGCAGAGAAACTAAGAAAC